CAAAATGTTTCCATGCCTCACCGTCAGATGGATGCCGCATAATGCCTGAAGATGTTTTGTTTGTATGATGCCATGTCATTTGACTTGCACTATGCATTGAAGCAAACAATCTTTTTAACCTTGGTATTATCGGCAAATAAAACATGGACTTCACTGCTACACGTTTTTGTTTACGGTTAATGGCTTTACTACGAACTTGATATATCGGACTCTTACAGAACTTACATTCCTCCAGCGCCTCATCATTAATACCAAACTCATTGTCATAAAACAACATACATCCATTTATACAACAATCAATCTTTCGTACTTCTAAACCCAACTTCGACACCAACCTCTTTGCATCATAATAACTTGTAGGCAAGTTGTCTTTCGTAGGAGTCGCATCCAACATCATTTTTGCAAAGTATTCCAAACACTGATCAGGAACATTCCAATTTGACTTTGCAGCCAATAATCTCACACACATTGATAATTTTGAATCTGCCGACCCCTCAAATAACGGTGTATTCATTTCTTTCAACAATTGGTAAAATCTTTGTGCTTCCTCATTCGGCAACTCTTCACCATCAAAATCCTGAGGTTCATCATATGTCACATTTGCTCCAAATGCATTTCCAACCATTTCATCGATCAGATTAAATTGTTCATCAAATTCCATATGTGATCGACTGCTTGATGCGTCTGTATTAGTTGTCTCTGTATGTACGTTACTCGGCAGTTGTTCTCCATTATATGTCCAAACCCAATAATTTTTAATGAAACCCTTCCTTCTCAAATGACGTTCTACTTCTTCTGGGTCACTAATTATACGTCTACATTCACATTTAAGACAAGGACATCTCACTCCTCCTTCACGTCGACAACATTCTTGTGCAAATGCCCACGTGATAAACCCCTTAACTCCTTCCTCAAAATTGGGTGTAAGTCCACGTCTCCCTGGTAACGTTCTATCGTACATCCAACTACGATAGTAACGAAAATATTCCATACTGCACATTAATTAGTACTATCATTATATATCATTTTAATAAAATATGTAATTTAAATCTATTTTTTCTATTTCGACACCATTTTAATAAAGTATAATATCATTATATATCATTTTAATAAAATATGTAATTTTTTCTATTTCGACACCAATCTATTTTTTCACTAAAATAATATAAATTCATTATTTTTAAAGTATAATATATATTTATTATTTTTAAAATATAATATATTCATTAAAGTATAATATAAATTCACTATATATTTTTAAAGTATAAAATATTTAGTAAAATAATATATATTCATTAAAATACTTAAATATTATGTTCATTAATAACTATATATTATGTTTTAACGTATAATATTTAAAGTATAATATTCATTAATAACATATTTAATGAATATATATTAAAAACATATATAAAGTATAATATTCATTAATAACATATTTAAAGTATAATAACTATATATTTAAATATTATGTTCATTAATAACATATTTAAAGTATAATAACTATATATTTAAATATTATGTTCATTAATAACATATTTAAAGTATAATATATTCATTAATTTTAAAAATCTGTTTTTCTAAAATAATATATATTATGTTTACTAAAATATAATAACTATTCAATAATGTAATATTCTATAATATATATAATTGATTTACTAAAAATAACGCATTTAATACATATTCATTATTTTTTAATTAAAATACTTTTTCAAAAAATAATACATTTAAAAATAACACATTTTAAATATAATACATATTCTTTATATTTTTTAAAAATATATTTTAATTTTTTCTATTTACAATTTTTTTTACTATAAATATTTTTAAAAATTCTACTTTTTCTAACATAATATATATTCTATTATATTATTTTTGTAATATATTCTAATATATATTATAACATTTAAAAATTCTAATACATTCTAATATATAAAAATTCTAATATATTATAACATAATATAAAAATTCTAATATATTCTAACATAATATATAAAAATTCTAATATATTTTTTTTTCTTTCTAATAAATATTCTGATATATAAAAATTCTAATATATTTTTTTTGTTTCTAATATATAAAAATTCTAATAAATTCAATAATATACATATTCTAATATATTTTTAATTCCTTATCAAAAAATATTCTGTTTTTTTAATTAAAAATCACATAACATATTATTTTTAAAATCTAAAATAATATATTTTTAAAATCTAAAATAATATTAAAAATCACATAACATATTAAAAATCACATAACAACAACCAACACAATACATATATATATATATCACTAAAATCTAAAATTTTCTAAAATCTAAAATTCTCAAAACTTCCAATAAAATTTCAACAACAACAACAATAAATATAAACAAATTTAATTGCTGAAATACCTCTTTACAAGCTTTTAAAACTTCCAATGAAACTTCTTAAAAATCAATGTTAGATCTGGAAAAAAAAATTAACAGTTAATAATAACAAATATATAAAATAAATGGTAACATAAAAGAGTCACAAAATCAACAAATACTTCACCTTAAATCTTGGTCTTATGAAATAAAAATGGAGTTGAGGGAAGGCAGCAAGCATATAAACAGAACGCAGAAAGGGGAAGAAGAAAATAGGTTTTGTGTTCTTCAGTTCATACGAAATGTGCCAAGACAAAATTCTGGGATTTGCATTTATAAGGGAGGTTGCGACGTGGATCCCACTTGGGAAGTTTGCGACGTGGCATCTGAATCGGAAGTTTGCGACGTGCAATTATGGTCGGTAATACTCCCCTAGAAAAATGTTTCATTTAATGCCAAGTAAAATTTAAAGTTGCGACGTGGTATTTATTTCGGAAGTTTGCGACGTGGCTTTCAGGTCAGAACATTCCCCCCTTTATTTTATTATTACCGTTGCCCACTAAAAGCCAAAGCAACGGTCAGAAAATAATTAATGTGAGTGTGTTGCAAAGTGAAGCACATGTGGGTATTTTCTGAATTATGTTCCCTTGTGATTTTCATGTCACAACTGAATTTTAAAAAAATTCAAACTTCCCTCCCTCTTAAAATTCCAAAATTTCGTTCCATATTTTTAAACTACACAATTTATTAATTAAATATGTTAGTGACGTGGTAATCACTTGGCAACACATTTTTTTTTCCTACGTGTTTCCCACGTCACTAAATCACTAGGGAAAATGCACATTTTCTTGTAGTGCTCTTTCTCCATATTTCAATAGGTGGTGGTGGTTCCATTCAAAAGATGGTACATTTTATGTTGTCTCTGCTTATTCAGTGCTCCTTGATTGTGATTTGGACAATGCTCTTTCGGCCAAAGTTTGTTGCCCATATGTTTGTGAATTACGATCTGTTAGTGTTTGTCATACACATGATTATTTTTAGTTGGTTAGGGTGGTGATTCATTTTCCTAGGGAACTTACTATTATTTTTCTACTATTTAGATTGTTGGGAAGTATACATATGGCGAAGGGTCGTTTCTCAATGATCTGGCACACATTGGTGTGGGCATTAGAGTAGATCCATCGATCTGAGCAGCTTGGAGGAGATCTGGATGTAGCAAAGTCTCTACTGCCTGATTTGTGACACCTTGCGCAGGATGTTGAGGCAGTTGATTAGTTGATGCCTAAGCGACAACGACAACAACAATTGATTCGCGTGTTGCGGTGGAACAAGTAACTTTGAATCCATCCATCTATAAGAAGTTTGGAAGCTACAAATTTAGAAATTCAAAAAATAGAGGTTGATAAAGTTTTTGATGAGGTCGAATGTGATGGATCTAGCGTTCGATATCAAAATATCTAATTAGATAAATTAGAAAGGTTTTGAGTCGGTAGATCAAAGAAAGAACGTGTGGTTAAAGAAAATAATGAAATTAGAATTCGATCCCCACAGACTGCGTCATTGTTCTATTGTAGAACCAAAATTGATTGGTGAGTTGGTGTTTGCGATGAACAATGGTGAATCGGAACTTCTGGTGCGGTTGAGGCGGAAAAAGTTAGCACTTCAACTCTCAAACCAGTATGTAAGGGATAAAAGTGAATTGAAATTGGATTTAAAATTTTGTAAATGGAGTTGGCGCACTAAAGTGGTTATAACATCTTGTTATTTGTTATGTGTGAAATACGGGAAGCCATTGAATGCATCTGGAGTTTAGATTGCCTTCATATTCCACATGGTAATTTTTCTTTGTTGCGATATTTCAAATGAATTATAATTTTTTTCAAGTGATTAGACAATGATTATTATAGACAGCCTAGAAGACTTTAGCGATGCTTAGTCAAAGTCAAATCTTTAAAGAGGAATGCATTTCAATTTTTTTAAAATAATTAAAAATTTAGGGTAAAAATATAATATTAAACCCAATTCCAAACTAAGTAATGGGAGAAGCATGTGATATTTATTATTTACTTCACTTAGTTCTTTTGTAAAATTTTCTACATTTTTAATAGATTATTATGTATAATAAAATATGAAAAAAAATAGGAGATGCATGGTCATCTAATAAACATTAATAATTTAAAACGATTTAAAGAATTTGATAGTTTGGTGATTTTTTGATTAAACGATTATCTACAATTTACACACTAACCATGTATACATGTGGATTAAACTCTGTAAATAATTAAAAAATGTGAAAAATTATGCAATGCAATGCAAAATTAAATTTATCGGCCACACTTGTTGTTTGAAAATAGTTTCACAAATATTTTGACAAAACATACATTCTGTGAGGTATAATTCATCGTCAGCAAATTAAGCTCACACACCGTTTACCGCTGCCATGATGGACGCGAGACCAATCTACTTGCCGTATCGACCGAGTAATAATTATCTAATCATCATTTGCTATTCAATAAACCAATAGCGGAATTAACTAAATTAATGTCAACCTTTGCATTCATAACCATTTCTCACACATCACTTGTATATATATATATATATATCAAATTCTAATGTCATTAACAAACATTCATCGTTCTTTTCAAAAATAATGGGAAACTGTTGCAAGGCATCATCGTCAATGGAGTGGGATGGACAAGACTGTGGATCTTTGAAGTCATCAAGCAACAAGGTGTTTGTCGAAGCTGTTCATCTTGATCATCATCAGGACAAGGAGAATGATATATTGGAAAAGCTTAGAGCTTCTTGTGATGCAAATGGGAAAGTGACGTTGAAGATTTCAAAGAGCGAGCTAGCTGAATTATTAGGAGCTATACAACAGAATAATGATAATCAACGACCGCAGAAGGAGGAATTAGCTTCAGCGGAACAAGTTCTGTCTCGGCTAATGAAAGCTAGAGATCAAGAAATTGCAGAAAAGCATCACTGCAGTAGTAACTGGAAACCGGTGCTAGACACTATTCTTGAATGAAGAATTGTACTAATTACACACTAGTTCTGGTGCTACCTGAAAGGTCGATTGAGCATTAGTTTGTTTTATCTCAACTACATGTATGAGGAGAGGCTGGTTTGGTTAGGGTCTTACATATATTTGTCATTTAAAACAAAATACTTGTCATTAATGATATTTTTCTTTTAAATTGATCTACTTCATCCATGTTAAATATTTAGTCAATATCGATCCTACATTATGTTTTACTGTGTTACACAGATATTTATTAAGGATGTGTTTGTAAATTAAGGTACGACTTCACCTCCTTTGTGCTCATACCATCATCATTAATATTATCATTGTCCATTAATTTATAACGTGATTTCCTACACTTTGTTCTTTTTATATCATACGCAATCATTATGATATGTAAGTATTTTGATATAGTCTATTCTGTTTGACACAATATCTTCTTATTCTTATAATTAGGTTCGACAATGTGTTGTCATTCAATAATTTAAAAATTTAGTGAAACTTTTGTCTCTCCATCTACTTTGTGCCTTTAGATTAAACATTTTTAACGACATTGTCAATCGTATAAAATTTGTGCACCTTGGGTATATAACTTTTCTTTTTTATGATTACATAAAGTATTATACACATGAGCTCTCTTAAAAGAATTTTCTCCAATATCACATATCATACTTTTTAGTCGATCATCCATATTTACATCAACTTCCTCTATGTTGATGCAATTGGGGTTTTTTCCACTTCACCATGCCATATCCATGTCATATAATATTGACAAACTCCATCACAACTAGATTCTTTAAATTTTCCAAAAAAAAAAACAGAAGGAAAATTGTTCTAGACCAACCAAAGGCCCAATTGGCCAAGACTCAATTCATCTCAAATCCACTCTACGTGACTCAAGGTATAAAACAGTTCACACAATAAGAGAAAGGTACAATCTCTGATCTCCATTTTCATTAAATTCATCTTAAATCTTGAACTGACTTGGACATTAGAGTGCTAATAATACAGGTCTTCCCTGTGCCACCGTAAAGGATATCAAAACCTCCATTCAAGATCATCAGTTATCCAATTGCCTCCATTTATATTTCTTAAGTGGACATAGAACATTCATTTCTGGTTCCCAAAAGCAATAGTGGCATCGTATGTGAGAATCAACTTCAGACTTCTACAATTTTTAAGAAAATCACATTCTCTTTCCAACTCCATCGTGCGAACATAAAAGTTCTAGATCTAGATTCTCACATTTTCAGATCTAGTCTCCAATTTACCACTTTGTAACCTCTTTAGGTCATCAAATCAAGAACAATTCGACTTCGTATTTTTACACCTTCGAAATCACCTTTCAGTTTCATCGTACACAACCTTCTGAGATCCCAAATCAAGAGCGTTCAGAGACGAACACAAAGAGATATTGTAGTCGGTTAAATTAGTCATCGTACCTATTGCGATTTATCAGATTCAGATCATCGATACTCTAGAATACTTCACGAAAAATAAAAGGAGAAAGGATTTAAGATCCATATCTAGGTTCACGCTGGTGTATGAAAATAATTTTATCAAAAATCACACCAGAAGTTTGTGGTTTACCCTTCGACCGAACGTCAACCTCACTATTTTTTCAGAGCTACTTAGTGACACGACGTCATCCAGATACGATAAGTTCATAGTTAACGTCAGATGCATATGCCTTACTGAGGTATTCCCTAAAGGATTTAAAGTGTCTCCAATCAATAGGTAGGACTTCTTCATCTTGAGTCAGGGGTTTCTCTTACTACTTATCCTAATCCTTACCGACAGTGCCAAGGTGTAGATGTGGAATCTCGAAAACAACATCCGCGGGGCTAGGTCGTGCAACTCAGATAACCCGAAGATCAAGTCCCCTTAGTCGGAAGAAGGATTTATGGATCCTAGTAGCTCCTTTCGATTTACAATCAACTCTTCCATCCTAAATGAAAGGCTAATTAAGACCAGAGATTTATCATCTCAAGGAACTACGCCATCGCCCAACCATCATACCGAGTCCGAGACAAGCCGCCCAACCATCATACCGAGTCCGAGACAAGCCGCCCAACATGTCGGATCTGCCACAGGCGAACACCCGAATCTTCTTTATATAAATACCCAATCTGTAATGGGAAAGATGCTATTGAATCTTGACCCCGGTGATCAAAAAGTTTCCGCAAAAGCATTGGATAGAGCAATTTGACGGGCCTAAAAATTACTATTTGTAACGAATTTAATTCATTATATATATATATATATATATATATATATATATATATATATATATATATATATATATATATATATATATATATATATATATATATATATATATATATATATATATATATATATATATATATATATATATATATATATATATATATATACATATATATATATATATATATACATATATATATATATATATATATATATATATATATATATATATATATATATATATATATATATATATATATATATATATATATCATTTTTGTTCCTTTAATTTATTTTAGAGTCTATTATAATCTTTTAATTTTAAAAAATTCTAAATTGATCTTTTAATTTATTTAAATAATATCACTTTTAATTATTTTTTTTCCGTTAGTCAAAATCAATATTACTGTATCCATAGCGCACATGGAATTGATGTGGAATATATGTATGCAACTTTAATTTTTCTTGTATCCATAGCGCACATGGAGTTGATGTGGAATATATGTATGCAACTTTAATTTTTCTGCAAAAAAAAATACGACTCTATTAGAGGAAAAAAAGTAATCACCATTCAAGCATCTACTACGATTGCATTGAAAACCAAAACCTTGAAACAATAATTCACGCCGAACATCGCGGTCCATACTGGCATGAATCTAGCAGATTCTCAGTTCTTCACGAAGGAGAATTGTAGATGATCAGTTATAGTTGCCGGTGAAACCATAAAAACCTATTTTATTTAGTAGGATTAGAGATTACATTGCCATATCAGAGTAACTTCTGTAATTGGATACCTTGTATACTCATGTTTTAAGTTATTTTACAATTAACTTTTGACTCCATTTCTTTCATTAATGAATTATTATGTTTCTTCTACTTTGGCGAATTTCGTAATAAACTATTTCATTCTACTTCTATCTTTTGCTTAGATAGAGCCAAATCTAAGAGCTCTTAGCGATAAAAAGCAAGAAAATTATGGGTTTGTCGGAATTGAGATTTTACATAAAATTGAGAGGGAACATTAAAATTGTAAAATATAAAATCATAATTAAAATTGGAAGATGTTACGCAATTAATTTTATAAAATTGAAAGATAATAACAAGATCGTAAACAAAATCATAAAATTTTACTTAAAAAAAAAATTAAAATATTTTATATTACATATATTAATAGTGCATAAGTTTTTATTTTAAAGATAAAACATCAAATTTAAAATCTTAACGATAAAATTAAAAATGTCAAATCTTAATTTAAAATAACAAAGTTCATAAAATAAAACGCTCAAAATAATAGATGCTAATACAAATCACAAATGCGCTGATAATTTTGATTTTCCCCATAATGTCAACTCCTTCATCTTCATTAATCTCATCATCTCCCCCACCATAATCATCATCGTCGTCTTCTCTATCACCTTCATCTGTATTTCCTTCTTCATTGTCACTTTCTATAATTTCAAGAACATCAAATTCATCTACATGTATAGTTGATTTAGCATCCGTACTTTGCATCAAATCTTCATCTAAATAAGCCACATTTACATGATTACCACCTGCATTTTCTTCCTCAGCAACATATCACCAATCGTCATCATCTTGAAAATCATCAATTGTTAGATCTCGCTTTTTCCTTTCAACCATATTCTTGGTCAATCTTGTATTTACCATCACATACACAAGATGATTCATAGTCTTTAGTTTCAACCGATTTCTTTTCTTCGTATGAACCTAAAAAGGGAAAATATTAAATTAAAATGCATAACATATAGTAACTATATATATATATATATATATATATATATATATATATATATATATATATATATATATATATATATATATATATATATATATATATATATATATATATATATATATATATATATATATATATATATATATATATATATATATATATATATATATATATGATAAATTTAAAAACATAATATCTCAAAAGTACTCCAATTTCTCTCGCAGCCAGAAGAGTTGCATGTCAAGCTCAACACACGAATAACAAAGTTTAGCAATTCTGAATGTGTATCATTGTAAAATTCCCACCATTGACTTGGTGTCTTATTTTCTAGCCCACATTTAGCTATTTCACTTCCAAAGAACCTCTTTTTACTCTTAAAATTCTCAAGTTGACCATCAATTTTATTCACCATATTCATGTCTCCTCCCATCATCTTTTCTAAACATGCATACATTCCTTGTTTTACTTCAGTATATGCTTTAAAATTAGGGTTGTAATGCAACATTGGATTAAGAGAACAGCCTGCAGCATGCAAAGGCTTATGCAATTGTTTGTCCCATCTATTATTTATAATTTTCCATAAAGGTTGGTAGCTTAAGAAAGAAAATATTAAATAAGTTCATAAATAAATACTAATATACTTTTTATATCAAATAAATTAATCAAAGATATTTTATAAAATTATACTTTTTTCTCTTATTATTGTAGCTAGTTTGTATTTCCTGTTTTGCCTTATCCATTGCTTCATAGATATAGCTCATGGCTGCCTTGTCATCAGAATCCATCATAAGCAATACTTTAAGTAATGGAAAAGCATCCTTAAGACAAATAATCAAACTCTTCCAAAAGTCCTTATTTGTGACTATATTTTCAATAATTTTTCCATTTTTTGTCTTGGAAAAGTGACTATCATCCATTGCTTGGAAGTGAACATCCTATACAATCCACCTCTCTTATCATTCAAGCAACCCAAACAAAAATATGATGTTACAAAGTGAGTGATGTCAAGTCTTATTAACTC